TACTGGGAGTATTATTGATGTGGACAGGGCTACCATTAGAAATTTAAGGGCCCTTTCACAGCACAGGGCCCCTGGAGCTCATAGTGCCTGCTACCTATTTCACCATCGTGTGTGTATATTGTATGCAGTGCGTGACTATAGTGGATCCTGTGTTTGTGTGCATTGTGGATATAGTTTGTGTGGTAGGTGCAGTGTAATTGTATAGTGGATGCAGTATATGTGTAAGGTTGGCAATGTGTAGTGTATGCAGTGTGTGTGATAGGTGCAATGTGTTTGTATAGTGGATGCAGTATATGTGTAAGGGTGGCAATGTGTAGTGTATGCAGTGTGTGTTTGTATAGTGTATGCAGTGTGAATTGTATAGTTGCTGCTCTATGTGAGTAGGTATTGTGGATGCAGTGTATAGTGGATTCAGTTTGTGTGTAGTGTATGCAGTGTATGTATAGTGGATGCAGTGTGTGTATAATGAAGGCAGTGTGTGCGTGTGTGTAAGAGATGCAGTTCGTGTATAGTGTATGCAGTGTGTGTGTAGTGTATGCAGTGTATGTATAGTGGATGCAGTGTGTGTATAATGAAGGCAGTGTGTGCGTGTGTGTAAGAGATGCAGTTCGTGTATAGTGTATGCAGTGTGTGTGTAGTGTATGCAGTGTGTGTATAGTGGATGAAGTGTGTGCATGTGTAAGAGATGCAGTTTGTGTATAGTGTATGCAGTGTGTGTATAGTGGATGCAGTGTGCATGTGTAAGAGATGCAGTTTGTGTATAGTGGATGCAATGTGTGTATAGTGGATGCAGTGTGCGTGTGTAAGAGATGCTGTTTATATATAGTATATGCAGTGTGTGTGTGTGTGTAGCGTATGCAAAGTGTGTATAGTGGATGCAGTGTGTGCGTGAGTAAGAGATGCAGTTTGTGTATAGTGGATGCAGTGTGTGTATTTGTGGGCTAGGGTAGGTGCTGTGTTGTGGGGGGTTGAGAGCGGCAGTTAATTATAATTTTTTTGTATAAAATATAAAATTATTATATATAATAAATAGTATTCCCCCTCTCCTCCCCCTAGCGATTACCTCTGGCGAGGGAGGGAAGACATGGCATTCCCTGGTGGTCCAGTGACTCCAGTTTTCTCTCTGCTGGGTGCCCACGCTGTTCTTGCAAGCCACAGCAGAGTGTATGGTAACCCACGGCAACGCTCTGACAGCTGGGATTGCGAGAGAGGGAGGCTGAAGAACAGCGTCCCGGGCTCCCTCTCCAGCAGGGTAAACCTGCAATGGTATGGGGAGGGAGTTCGTTGCTTTCTCTCCCTGTGCCTGCATATATATTTAGCAATATTCGTTGTATATACTGCCTGTACCCACGATGGTGGCCCTGGCTGCGGAGCACTGGTATAAATTAATGCACACATCAAGAATACTAAGCTTCTATTGGGACAAAGGGATTTATTCCCAAAATAGGGACATTGTGAGGCATGTCATTTACGACCCCACACATGACATGCCTTTCTTACTCTCATCCCTTCCTCCATTCCTGGCCTCATATTGTTTTATATAACATACATTAATTCAACTAAATACTCAATGCATAAAAATAGACTAATTAAAACATCTATTTTATACAATATGTCAAAATGATATCATCCAGCTGTGTTTAATGAGAGCTAAGCAGACCCTTTTAAATCTATAAAAATGCTTCTGTGTTGGACGGCAAGGGTTAACTTGTTGTTTAGTTGCAATGTTTCATGGTCTGACGCCTGGAAGTAAAAGGGTTAAATAGCAAGTGCATGATTGATGGCTGCGAATCCAGCTAGACTAGCTCCCTTTAGCTATTGATTTTCCAGGACACAATTGTTTGGAACCCAGGCCTGCCGGAATGGAATGTTAGAAAGGATACCCCGTTGCTGGGACCATTAGGAAAGCAGACCGCTCTGACCCTTGTGACAATGGAAGCGGATTGCTTGTAGCATTGCAGATATGGACATTTATTAATTATACTCGCAGCAGGGCCACAATAACAGAATAATATTGTGCATGAATGTAGGGTTGCCAGCTCATAGTTTTACAGAAAGCATATGAATGTTTCATGCTACAATATGTAGCATTCATATGCAGCGGGGAAGACAATGTAAGATTGACAGGGTCACTCCCTAAAGGGGGAATTGTTAGGAATCAAAAGTGAATTTCAAATTCTAGGCTAAAAATAACTGAACAGAAAACAGAACTGACTTGGAGATATTCTTTTTCCAATTCCCCTTTTGGTGCCTACATTTTGAAATTCACATTCAATTAATTTTATATTTCCATCAATTCCTTTTTGGGGTAACCCAGTTTAGTTACCGGATTTGGTGTAGAATAACTAAAGTTACCATCAATCAGCCAGTTCTTGTCGGTTTCAGTAGATATGGTCTTCCTGCAAAGACAGGCATCTGGCCTTGTATTCTTTAATAATAGGAAGAATTCTGGGAAGGTCCCCTGTCACCTATGAATATCTTTATGAACCGGGTTTATTGAGATAATTTAGTTTTAGTTATATATAGCTCAAGTGGTTCTAGAAAAGAAAGACATTATTCTGAGTAAGATGACTGGATTTAATTTCATAATCCAAGGGTTTCTCCATTGGGCCTGGTTCCTAAGAAGGAGCCAGTGAAATTTTTGATGAATTATCATTTGGTTAGATATGGAATCGGCAAGGAAGTTTTGATGAGGCCATTGTCCGTGCTGATGAAGCAAACCAGAAATATCTGATGCTGATGGTGAAGGCGGATATTTTGAGAGTTACCAATACACCTGAACTGAAAATCTGTGTTTTGATATTTATTTTAAGATCATTTTTTCTATGAAATAAGCTTGACCACAGAGTTGCCATTTCCCTACAGTATTTTGACTTCTGTAGTCTTGGAGTAGGTCATAAAGCAAGTATTGGGATTAGCTCTGTAGTTCAATATCTTCATGACTTTTTGTTTGTAGGTCTTCCCGATCTGTGGGAATCTGTTAACTAATTTCTGCAAGGTGGTTCATGAATTTGGAGTCCTATTGGCTGAGGATAATATGAAAGGCCCCAGTGCAATGTGCCCTTTAAGATGCTGTGGATTTGGTCTGAGGTGTTTAGAGATATATTTTGAAACATCGTTGTTCCAGTAGGCATTTGTTGTGCAGCCATATCAGATGGTTTTACATTTATATCCTGAAACTTTAGTGGTGAGTTTTCTGGAGGTAAGGATGTCTTTGTTGGGCCCATTCTTTGTACACAGGGATGAGTCTTTACTGGCCTGTTATCAGCTTTCAGAGATCCAGGGTTTGGTTGGAAATGAGTGCTGACCAAATCAGCAACCAGCATAAGTAGGATCCCAATAAACCACAATACACAACAATGACAAAGGAAATCAAGTGTACTAGTTACAAGAACACACATGGATAAGCACAAATGCAAAACAAATTATTAGGAAAACTCAATATAATGAAACTGACAGGACTCGGGCCTTCTGGATACTGGGAGTAAGGGAGCAGGGCCTCTGGCCTTCTGGACACAGGAGACCGGGCCTCCAGCCTTCTGGACACAGGGAGCAGGGCCTCCACCCTTCTGGACACAGGGAGCAGGGCCTCCAGCCTTCTTGACCCAAAGAGCATGGCATCCAGCCTTCTGAACACAGGGAGCCAGCCTTTTGGACTCAAGGAGCAGGGCATCAGGCCTTCTGGAAACATGGATCAGAGCCTACAGCCTTTTGGACACAGGAAGCAGGGAATCCAGACTTCTGGACACAGGGAGCAGGTCTTCTGGGCACAATGAGTATTGTCTCCGGCCTTCTGGACACAATGAGCAGAGATTCCGGCCTTCTGGACACAAGGAATAGGGCCTCCAGCCTTTTGGACACAGGGAGCAGGGTCTCCGGCCCACTGGACACAGGAAGCAGGGCTTCTAGCCTACTTGGAACAGTACCTTCTGGGTAAAGGGAGCATGATCTCCAGCCTTCTGGACCCAAGAAGAAGGGCATACAGCCTTCTGGAGCCAAGGAGCAGGGCATACATCCTTCTGGACACACCTAGGGGACCAGACATATCTAGCATGGGTCTACAGTTAGGAATTGAGATGCTGGATGGTCACAGTGCCAGCATTAATAGAAGGATGGCTCTGCCTTGGCAGGTGAGCCAGGTCTAAGCAAACACCATAAATAATTGGAACCAACCTCTATGTGGGCAAAATCTATTTTTGCTACCCATTATCCTTCATATTGTGTTATTAACTGTACACTATTTTTTGTATTACATTGTTTCATTCTAAATAAAGAATTTAAAAAAAAAATGTTTTTGCGGAACTGCCTGCTGTCACAAGGAAGAGCAGCTGGTGAATGTTAAAGTACCACTATAGGCACCCAGACCACTTCAGCTTAATGAAGTGGTCTGGGTGCCAGGTCCAGCTAGTTTTAACCCTTTTTTCTATAAACATAGCAGTTTCAGAGAAACTGCTATGTTTATAATAGGGTTAATCCAGCCTCTAGTGGCTGTCTCATTGACAGCCGCTAGAGGTGCTTCCGCGCTTCTCTCTGTGATTTTCACAGTGAGAGCACGCCAGCGTCCATAGAAAAGCATTGAGAATGCTTTCCAGTGGACTGGCTGAACGTGCGCGCTGCTCCTGCCGTGCATGCGCATTCAGCCGATGACGTCGCTATGGAGGAGGAGAGGAGGAGGAGAGTCCCCCGCCCGGCACTGGAGAAAGAGGCAAGTTTAACCCCTTCCTCCCCCTAGAGCCTGGGGCACCCTCAGGGCACTATAGTGCCAGTAAAACGAGTATGTTTTCCTGGCACTATAGTGGTCCTTTAATGGTGTTATGTTGTATTTTTTATTTTGGATATAAATAAACACATACACACATCATGTCCCAGACCTAAACCTCATAGACTTTCATTAAATAATGGAACGATTTAGGTTTAGAACAGGATAATCCAAGCGAACTGATAATTTCTCTCTCTCTTAACCACTTGAAAATCTCTCCCACATCAGTTCACAAATTTCTCTTCTACAATTAATGTTTTTGGTGTGTCCTCTCGTTATTCTATTGACCAACAAAAATGCACGGATAATTCTGTATAGTTTAGAAGAAAGTGCTGAATATGTAGATCCATTATTAAAATGTCCAGCGCTGTTGGAGTGAAACTTTAATAGTGCTACATTAGTTACCGTGCAGCATCGTTACAGCACAGTTCACAATGGCGCCATTTTTACTGTGGGCATTTTGGTTAGGATGTAATGAAATAGTTAGTGTTAGGGCTAGGGCTAGAACATGGGTTCGTTTTATGGCTCAGAGAAAGATTAAGTTCTCACAGGGCCCCAGGTGAGTTACCAGCTTGGGCTCCCTTCATTCTTCACATATTCAGCCACCTAATCGCCAATGGTTATCTTATGGGTAATCCTGCTTTGATGGCGATGGTCAGTGTTAGTGTAAAGTTTAGAGGTAGTGTAACGGTAAGTGTAAGAGGGGGAGTTTAATATAGGGCATAAATGTCCTAGTACTGACATAGCGAATAGTGATAATACAGTGGGAATTGCAATCCTGGGAATGAGCTGGATTAAAATGGCGGCAGTCGGCGCTCTGGACTGTAACTCATACTAATCCTAAAGCAGATAGGGCTCAACAAGTCCTATGCTACTAGCCAGTTACTTGCCACTGGAAGCACATTAACTGGGGGTTAATTTCAGCAAGCCAATGGCTAGTACAGAGTGAAATCTTTGAGCACTGTACTAAGGTGGAATTCTAAAACATATATAATAGACTATGTTATGAGAGCTAATCTATTATCTGGTTGTTTTAATTGTTTGTAGATTTTTTGTCATTGACTTTTCCCTCTGTCCTGCATACAATGTAATGTAAACAGAGCAGATCATAGCAGGTTATTGGATGGCTGGTATTGTGTTACTGAAAGCTCACTAAGAACAAAGGTTTTCCCGCATAAGTTCCAGTTCAGTGTCCATGGATCCACATTCCCACCGCCTCCACTAATCAATGTGCCTATTGACCCAACCCTACCCCCAGTTCTCCACTCTCCAGATTAGCTAATGAACAGCCAGGGGAAGGAATTACAGTATTTCAATTAGAAGTCATTATACAGTAGTTCTCTCGAGATCTAATAATTTCTCTTACAAAAAGATTTGGAAGTATGGAGCCAAGCATGCAACATATAGAATGAGCCCAATAATATCTTGGTTTGGCTAATTAGTAAATATTTAGGTTATTGTTGGGATTTTATTAGGTAATTTGTTTGGTTTAAAATGTCACATTTCCTTGCTTAATTCCCACCACATTGGTCGGCATCGCGTTACTGGCGTGGCCCAAAAGGGATGGATCAGCCCAGAAAGGAGCAGGTCAATCTGAAGGATTGGTAGGTCAGCCAATGCCCTAGGATAGCCCACTAAGGGTGGATCATGCAGAAAGAGCAGGGTCTTAGTGGCATGAGCATTGCACAAGTGCGTCTAATGATGGGCACGCATTACTCTTCCTGGGGACAGTTTCCTGGTGTTCCCAAAAGCAGGATAGCAGGAAACCCTAAATATGGCCTGTCCTGATGATATCAGTATGCCATATTTGAAAGAAACACACATGCCAATTACTCAACGGGAATGCCCATGACCAATAAATGGTAAATTTGCTGTCATGTGCTGAACTATTTATTCCATAATACTGTTTATGAGTTTTATGTGTCACACCCAGTGTTCTCATTTAGAACGGTAGTAAAGCTCGGACTGGTAAAAGATTCTTAACCACTTCCTGATTGCTAAAGAATCAGAGGTCTTCTGCAAATCTGGAAAATTCAGAGTGAATAACCTTTTCACCCCGAGATCCTACGGCTCAGCATTTTTCACCATGAAAATATGAGACTCAGACTTTTCCACCCTGATAACCAGCTTCCATTCACTCTGGACCCAAGGATGGTGAGGGGTGGGAAAACTAACAACATCCCGGGCGGGGCCCCAACCACTAATTTAATGCAACACTTCTTTCAGACCTGTCTCCCCCCTCTAATACACTCAGTATGTAACAAGATTAAAATATTTGGACATTGCACACTAACTCAGCACAAAATGACTACCAGCTGAGATCATCTCCTTGAAGAGGCTAAATTAATCTTATCTCAAGTCTGAGCTGTAATCACAACAAATTCAATTTATTGACAAATGGTTAAAGTAATGTTACTGACTAGCTGTTTGATATCCACATGCATATATTTAAAATCTCCTATTACTTGTATTAATCTCCTTTTTCATGTGATGCTCTGTTTCTAATGTATATCAATGATTTTGCAATTTCTATCACAATCCAGTTCAGTCCTGGCACATCAATGGCACACGTTAAATTGGAGCAGCCTGGGATACGGAGAGAAAGGATGAAAAATAGAGGGATCTGGGCGTCATATTAGCTCAATGAATTACCCTTCAAAAAGAGAAATGACTGTGTGTGCAGCCTCCCAAAAACCTGCAGTTAATAGACATGCTCTCCCTCCACCACTATTTCTGTAAATGATGAACAAAAAAATGATACTGTATTTCTGATTTAAACTTTTATAATATGTTTGTCAATTCATAAACTAAACTGGTTTATTTTTAATGTTTTATAATTTTTTTTTTATTTGCTAGTTAAGCATTCTGTTTCAAAGTAAATATTGCAACTTACATTTTGAGAAATTGTTTTGTTTTTTTGTCATTCATTATTTTATTGAGGTTGAAGTAAGTCAAGACCTAAAATACATAGACAATTGAGCAATGTATATATATGTATGTAATACAAGCAAATAAAAAAAAAAAAATAATGCTGCAGAAAAATCATTAATTATTGTGAAACACATGACATGACCACAGCAGGGGTAAGCATTAGGCATCAGATCAGATCCACGACTGGCTAAGAACCGGGCTTATTTGTGAGGAAATAACCAGATATTCAATTAGCAAGTAGCAGACTCAGAGTAATTGAATTGTTAGACTAACATCCCATACAAATAGATTTCAAGAGAAACAGGAGAAAATAAAATAAAAAAGGCGACATTAAAGGATCACTATAGTGTCAGGAATACAAACATGTATTTCTGACACTAGATATTAATTTTTAATTTTTTTTTAAATAGGTCCCTGACCCCTTTATCCTCTGTAAAAGAAAAGGTGTTAAACTCACTTAATTTGCAGTGCTGTGCAAGTCTCTTTGCCCTGCCCCCTCCGCCTACTTGGCTGAGATCATCAGACGTAGGAAAGCATTGGGAGGCTATTGCGCATGCATGGAAAAATGCCGCCCTGCACTAATTAAATCAATGCATCTCCATGAGAAACGGTCAGCTGCAAAAGATTCACCCACTTCCCACGCTAGTGATAAGATTCCCATATAGAGACAGAGAGAAATGTAAAATATTCATTAAAAAGTTTCTTTGACTCCAAAATCCTTTCACACTAACCCTTAATGGGTCAGAGGTTTTTCCAGTTCTATCTGTCTGGAGATATTTCTATAGATATAGATAACATTATATTATCTATATAGATAACAGGATCACGCTCTTATACTGAATAAATGATGCTCAAATAGATACAAAATAAATAAATAGATCAGGCTTAGGCTTCTGCATCAATTTTACTGATTATACCCATAAAAATGTTTTTTGTGTGTTTTCCTGATTAAAACAGAGAGTCGCCAGATGACATTTAGCTATGCATTTTGTTTATTTTAGATGTAAGGTTTGTATTTAGTAAGTACTATTGTCTTCTTTACCTGTTTCCAACATTTCACAATATCTCTAAACAAATGTTAGTGTGTCGCTATATTGCTTTGCCATGTGCTGGGTGTGTTTACTGTGTACGTAACGTGTGTTTTGCTCTGTAATTTCTGTGTTTGTGCTATTTTATAAATGGTATCTCCTACATTAAAAGTTCTTTTGAACATGCGGCCTCTCTAGCCAGATATACCTGCCGATGGTCTAATACGGCAATAAACTTTAATGACACATTCGGGAGGTGGCCATAGTTGACCCTAGAATTGAGAGGCAGAGTTCAATTTAAAAAAGAAATGATTGGCACCCGACTCTCAAATTAGGAATTTCCTTCCACATCCTGGCTCACTGGGTGGTAGGATTCGTACAACGTCATTACCAGACAGTATCCAGGCTATTGAGACTAGTGCATGTTATACAGGCTTCATTACTAACTTGGAATTATGCTTTTATTTACAGTATATGACTGTTTGATCATCAGCCTTGGAAATTAAACCTTAAATAGTGACTGAGGGCAACGTGTGCAATGCTGGGAGGGTTACGTGGAGTGGAGGTTGGGTGTTATTGTTGGATATAGTGTTGATAAAGGCTCTGCCAAGCCAGAAGGGAAAGAATAGATTAGTGCTTGTTGGTGAGAATAGACGCCAAGCCACACACTATGCGAGATGAAGGGAGAGGTCAGGTGGGGTCACATAGGAGGATTCTGGGGGATGGAATCCTCTGTTTGGAACCCCCACTCAGACACTGAACAGACCGTTCTCCAGCCCATAGCTCCATACTGTGTAGCACGCCTCGCCTTGCTCTCCCAAAAGCTGTACTTGTTTTACTGGCTAATGGTGATGGTACAACAAACTGAATAAATCATTTATCACGCAGAGCCGTGTCCTGCTGTCATCCATGTTGGGCCTCTAACTACTATATTATCATGCAGAGTTACATGCTGTGTTGTCTTTTTACTTCCGTCTTACCATGCAGAGACCCAGCCTCTCTTTTCACGCTAACCTATGTTCTATGTCATTACCTCTGCATCTGATTCCCAGGGAAGTTATAAGCAGGGGTTTAGACAATGTATGGATTTACATGATTTTCTGAACCAAGGGAACGTGTCTCAATAGAATCTCACTGTGCATGTAGCCTGCAGAATTCTGCCCTCTCCCTTCAGAAATGTAAAACGTGCTCTCTCCAATGTGTAAAGTCATGCTAATGCCGTGTGTTTTTACTCAGGGCTCTGTGCTGCAGCCTCCCCCCTTCAGATACATTTAGCTTCTCCCTGCAGAGTCTTGTACGACTTTTTAATTATGCAGAGCTGTTTGCTGTCTTGTCTGTCTGCAGATTCCCACGTTACATCTTTTTTGTGTAGCCTTGTGCCGCACTCCAACTCCTGCAGCGCCATATGCCGCCTATTATCTGTCCTTTGCCATGTGCTATACAAGTCCAGCTATACACACTCTTGAGAACTGTCTGCAAATGTTGGGAAGGCTGTGCACATTGTATAGAATTGTGTATAGAAGTGGAGCTCTGTGATACACTGATACATACGGCGCATTGCTGTAAGTTTTGATGCTATAGAGCTTTGTGATACACTCATAAACACCTCACGTTATTGTGAGGTTTGTTGCTGTGGAGCTCTGATAGCTACAGCACATAGCTGTATGCTTTGATGCTGTGGAGCTCAGTGCCTCTCTCTGGTGTTGTAGAGAGAGGCACTGAGACTAGTGGTGTTGTAGAGAGAGGCACTGAGGCTAGTGGTGTTGTAGAGAGAGGCACTGAGGCTAGTGGTGTTGTGGAGAGAGGCACTGAGGCTAGTGGTGTTGTGGAGAGAGGCACTGAGACTAGTGGTGTTGTGGAGACCGGCTTGGAGACTATGGTGAAGCCTAATAGAAAGCAGTTGTTGTTGGGTGATTCCATTATAAGAGGTGTGGAGATGGACAATGGTGGTCTTGTGAGGTGTCTTCCCGGAGCTACTGCTCACAGAGACAGGAGACGTATCTGTAATATTGTTAAGCAAGCAAAGCAGGAAGGGGAATTGGATGTACTTGTCCATCTAGGGACAAATGACTTGGCTTGCAATGAGGTTTCAGAGGTTAAGGAAGTTTTTAGTGTTTTTGCCAATGATATACGGCAGGTTGCTTCCACACTGTCATTCTCTGAAGTTCTGCCTGTGCATAACACTCAGAACGACAGGCGGATGCGTATTAGGGACTTTAATTTGTGGCTTGGTGAATGGTGTCGGGAGTAAGGATTTGGCTTTATTTCTCATGGTAGCTCTGTTTGGAATGGAGATAAGCTGTACAAAAAAGATGGTTTGCATCTTTCTCAAAAGGGAACAAATGTTCTCAGTGAGCAGTTCAGAGGTTTTGCTAGGATGTATTTAAACTAGGAGGGGGGGGCAAAACATCAATCCAATTGTCCCCCAAAACAAGGACAGAAGGTGCCTGTAGCAAGTGTGTTAAAAAATGATAAGCTTAGAGTCATGTCTACAAATGCTCGCAGTTTAGGGAATAAGATCCATGAACTTGTGGCAACTGATAGTGTAGATTTAGTCGCTGTTACTGAGACATGGTACAATGAGAAAAATGACTGGGACATAGCAATACCAGGGTACTCTTTATATAGGAAAGATAGGGAAGGCAAGAAAGGGGGAGGGGTGGCCTTGTATGAAGGATAGCATAAAATCTAGCCTAATAAAAGTTAGTGAGGCAAACATAGAGTCCGTTTGGGCTACGTTAGAATTTGGTAATCACACAGTAACTCGTGTAGGTGTGATTTATAGGCCCCCTGGACAAATTGAAGAGTTAGATAATCTACTAGTTGAGGAAATAGCTAAAATGACAATGAAGGGGAAGTTATCATCATGGGTGACTTTAATCTTCCTGATGTAAATTGGAAAACAAAATTAGCTACTTGTGCCAGGAGCACACATATTCTAAACTCCCTACTGGGATTGTCTCTAAAACAAGTTGTTGAGGAGCCAACTCGTAAAGAGGCCATACTAGATTTAGTGTTAACAAATGGATATTTGGTATCAGATGTTACTGTAGGTGAAAGTTTAGGATCCAGTGATCATCAGTCAGTGTGGTTTAATATAAGAACAGTGACTGAGTCACACCACACAAAAACAAAAGTTTTAGACTTTAGAAAAACAGACTTTCTAAAATTAGAATATGGGTAGAGGAGTCATTATCAGACTGGAGCAATTTAAATGGAGTCCAAGAAAAATGGGATTATTTAAAAGTTGCACTATTGAAGGCAACAGAAAATTGCATTAGGCTTGTCAGTAAAAGCAAAAATTCAAGAAACCACTGTGGTACTCCGCAGATGTGGCCAAAATAGTTAAAAACAAAAAGTTAGCATTTAGGAATTATAAAAAAACCCAGAGTGAGGGAGACAAAATGATCTATAAGATTAGGCAGAAAGAGGCTAAGCAAGTTATAAGAGCCTCCAAATCACACACAGAAGAGAAAATAGCACAGTCAGTAAAAAAGGGGGATAAAACATTTTTTAGATACATAAATGAGAAAAGAAAAGTAAAACAAGGATTAGTTAGATTAAAACAAAAGAAGGAAGGTATGTAGAAGAGGATAAAGGTCAGGCTGACTGCCTCAATGAATATTTTTGTTCTGTATTTACAGAAGAAAATGAAGGAAAGGGACCTCAGTTGAGAAAAAGGATAAATGAGTCATTTATTACACGTGAGTTTACAGAGCAAGAGGTTCTATTTCAACTGTCAAAAGTAAAGACAAATAAGTCAATGGGACCTGATGGAATACACCCAAAGCTATTAAAAGAGCTTAGTGGTGTACTAGCAAAACCATTAACAGATTTATTTAACCAATCATTGTTAACAGGAGTAGTCCCAGAAGATTGGAAGTTAGCGAATGTTGTGCCCATTTACAAGAAAGGTAATAGGGAGGAGTCGGGCAACTATAGGCCAGTAAGCCTTACTTCAGTAGTGGGGAAAGTGATGGAAACCATGTTAAAGGATAGGATTGTTGAACATCTAAAAACACATGGATTTCAAGATCAGAGACAACATGGGTTTACTTCAGGGAGATCATGCCAAACTAATCTTATTGATTTTTTTGATTGGGTAACTAAAATTATAGATCAGGGTGGTGCAGTAGACATTGCTTACCTAGATTTCAGTAAGGCTTTTGACACTGTTGCACATAGAAGGCTTATCAATAAACTGCAATCTTTAAGTTTGGATTCAAATATTGTTGAATGGGTAAGGCAGTGGCTGAGTGACAGGCAACAGAGGGTTGTAGTTAATGGAATATATTCGAAGCTTGGACTTGTCACCAGTGGGGTACCTCAGGGATCTGTACTTGGACCCATTCTCTTTAATATTTTTATTAGTGATATTGCAGAAGGTCTTGATGGTAAGGTATGTCTTTTTGCTGATGATACTAAGATATGTAACAGGGTTGATGTTCCAGGAGGGATAAGCCAAATGACAAATGATTTAGGTAAACTAGAAAAATGGTCAGAATTGTGGCAACTGACATTTAATGTGGATAAGTGCAAGATAATGCATCTTGGACGTAAAAACCCAAGGGCAGAGTACAGAATATTTGATAGAGTCCTAACCTCAACATCTGAGGAAAGGGATTTAGGGGTGATTATTTC